GTGGACTTCAACTCCCAGAATTCCTGCTGGCTGAGGAATTCTGGGAGTTGAAGTCCACAAGTCTTAAAGTTGCCAAGGTTGGACACCCCTGCATTACTGCCTAAAACTAGGTAGCTAGCTCTGCTTTGTACTGCAGACACTCTTTATAACCTGTGTTATTATTTTCCTATCCCTATTGAGATTTGGAATCGTGTGGATATTATTTATTAATTTTTCAATTTTTGTAAATGATAATGATAGAGATTCCCAAAGGGTCTCACGTTCACAATAGAATACAACTGATGACTTCATGAGTGCAACACAATGTGTGATGTAATGGTCTAGGAACGGGGAGTCCTCGGTTCAAGTCCACCTTTAACAATAGATGCCAGATAAAACATACACTGTACATTTTTACACAATGCACAGTTGATCTGGGTAGCTATTACCTAAGTTTACCATGAAGGGAAATAAAGTGTTAATTAAATTCAGCATCTTTCAGAGGCACATCTTTTGAGTTCACTATTGACTCATCTCTCCCATGCAAAATGCATTTAGATTGATTGTTGAAGTTCAGCCATTTTCAGAGCTTGCAATTAAGTTAAAGCTAAGGTTAGCATGCTCTGTGTATGCAGCTGCTAAGGTTCCAAGTATGTTATATTAATCCAGAAGTTGAGTTCTTAGGAGGTGGACGGACTACAGTAGTGCTGTAGTTCTTCCTGGTTGGCTGCCTTACAGAAGAACTGGGCAAAAGAAGATGGACTCCACATTGACTGAAGACTTAACTATGCACTGGCTTGCCAACTTGGGATTTGGCTGTGATGTTTATGAGAACACACAGGCCACCAGTAGCTTGGCTTGGTAACAGGAAAGAGGTAAGGTGATCTGCTTTTCTTTCTCTCCCTCTCCCTCAAAAAACAAAAAAGGGGTGGGTGAGTGAGGAAAAAGTTGCATGAATGACATAATGTCTCCAGGTGTGTCTCCATACCTGCTTAGCCAAAAACAATTTGACCTGCTGAGTTCCAGTAGAGAAAGTATATTTGAGAGAGGGTCTCCTTCGCTGAGTGTGGGGCGGAGCAGGATTTCCATGCATTTGTTTGGTGTCCTTAACTTCTTGCTTTCAGATTGAGATTTCTATCTATGAAGATCATTGCAGCAGTTCCAGCTCAGGCAGCACCAGCAGTTCCAGCACCAGTGCTGGGGGAGGTGGGGGAGCAGGGGGGCGGTGACTGGCACAAAGTCCCGGTAGGGATTTGTACTGCCGGGACGATGGAGTCTCTGAGATTCGCAGGCTGCGCTATCAGAGCACCCGTTTCTGAGCTCCTCCAGGGATGCCAGCAAGGAGCATCATGACACCCCTGAGAGTTACAGTGGCCACAGTGAAATCCTGGATCCCAGAGGATTTCTGACCTTGACTTGAGTGGCTGTTACCCCTGAAGGAGCTCAATTTCTGTGGCCGAGTTCGTTATATCTTGAAATATTGGCACTTCCTGTGAGTTCCTGCAGGCATGATGGCACCTGATTTTCCCAGATAGATTATTACTCCAATTCTGTTCTCAATCTATAGGTTTATTACCTGAACTGGCTACAACTGCAAGCTGAAATCAAGTGATCAGCAAATAGCAACCCAGCATAGTGAGCTGGGATGGGGTAGGCTGAAGAAACTGGATATTTTTTTTAAAAAAAAACCAAGTTATAATCCCATGACTGAGTGTTCCTGCCTTGTTCCTTAACAGGCTACCTTAGCTCCTGTCTTTTGGGTGCTATGTATATTCCTGTCCTGAACTTCAGGCATGCTATATGCTTTGAATATTCAGTGTCCATAGTGCTTCCACTTCAGTTGCCTGCGTTCTCTCCTATACCTCTAGTGCTGGTACTTCCAAAACATGTCTTTTCACAGATGCTAGGATGTCTTCTATTCTTGGAAACCATAGAACATGCCTTATGCTCTATTTCTTTCAGGGCACTAGAAAAGAATATAGAGCCACAGAATGGAACTCTCCTTAATCTGGGAGAGTAGCATGAATACTACTGAAGACTATAACTTCTTCCAAATTTGGAAGTCTGCACCTCATTGACTCTGGCCAACTCCAAAATATTTCAGTACCATTCTGGGATCATGGAGAGCACTAAAGATATTCTGAGGCTTTAAAGGTGCACTGTGGGTAGAAGGGTGGGATAATTGTTTATTTATTGCTTAACTTAGTCCAGCCGAAGAAGCATATTTTAAGTATGTATGTAAATATCTACTATAGCTCTAACTATCTAGACTTCATGCTGCCTCTGCCTCTGAGTTGGTACACAAAGTCACAAGAAAGACTATTTCCCCAAGGCTAATAGAGTAAGTGTTTTTCTCTACAGCTTTTAACTTACTTCCCAACACTGGTGTTTGGCAACATCACCTTATCACTTGCATGCACAAGTTGTTCCTTGTGGCATGTTTTCTCATCCTGTATATAGCTGTTTGGGTCCTACAAATATTTAAGAAACTCTAGGTATTGGTGCTTCAGTGCCACTTCTCTGAATTCCTTGATGCCACTCTGTGAAGCAAGATAGATCAAAATAAGAGGATGTCAGGTTGCCCAATGAATCAGTATTCAAATCATGGATGAAGTTTGTCACTACCTTCAACAAACAATAGATCCTTAAATACTTCCAATTTCTCACATATTACACATCTGTCTCTGTGTATGGTAGGCATATGCATGCTGAAAGCCTCGAAGAATAAAATTGTACACATGTCTAAGGGGCGGGGAGTCTTGAGTTGAGTGCACACTAGGGCATTATTATTCACTGAATGCCTGGCCTGAGAAACTTTGCTGCAACTCATTGTCATTACTCAGGGGCATGGTGGGGCATCTGCTGAAAGCCCTGGTGCTAATAAAGATACATTGCCAATCATGCCATAGCAGGCATCAGCCCCCTGTCTGGTGCTTCTGTAGGATAGGATAGGATAGTTCTCGCTGCATCAATAACTGCTTTCCCACTGTTTCTATCCATTGCTCCCCTTGTGACTCTCACCCTTCCTATGACTGCTTGCTGTCATTGCTGTTGGCCATTCCTCTCTAGGTAGGGCACTTATGGCTATACTGTAGCATGATGATTAAGGCCAGGCCTATAGCCTCTTCTAAAAGTTGGGGGAGAGAACAAAATAAGGAGGGAGTCGCTTATGTAGACTTTTAAAAAAAATACATGTTACAGGGTGGGACAGAAAGACGCCACATTAACTTTCACACTTATTGTAAGTACTCATGAGGCTAAGAGCTAAGGAGACATAAGGGATTGGAAGGGGCAATAATAACCAGCAGTGGGGCACCTTACAGAGATTGTGATAATAGAAGTTATAGAAGATGTGGCTACAGGATTCCCAGATGAAACAGGGTCTCTTCAGCAGCAACCATGTTAAGAGTTCACTAACAACAGGAGACCACCTTGATTTCAGAATTGGATTTTTCTGAAAGGGAGAAAAGAATTGGAGATTAACCAAACCTTGTTCTGTGCGACTGGAACTGCAGAGGCTATGGCAGATGCACAGACATTAGGCCAGCTGTACCCAGATGCCTTGAGCAGCTGCTCCTCATGCCATATGTTGGGTATCATTTTTGCCACATGAATCTGGTCATTACTCAACCCAATATGTCTCTACATGGCAATTTCGAACAATAAATGGCAAGCGAGAAATTATATGTGTTGTTCTTTTTATCCATCACCATTAGAAACAGTCAGTATATTAGTTCCCACCTCTATGGCTAGTTGTTTCATGCATAATCATCCCGAATCATAGTTTCAAATATGTGCATGTGTGACTACTTAAATAGTTTAGTTAACATACAGGGCTATATAAATCATTTGAACAAAATGCTTCATAAAACTTAATTAGCCAATATATTCTTAACTTGCAGTACAAATTGCCTGGGATGGAATGTAGTGAACCAGGTCATCATTCCAGGAAGGAAAATCATCTTCCACATGGAAATTGTCTCAACAATGTGACTTGCACAAAAGATGCAACCTATCTCAGGAACTCAAATTCGTATCTATCTGAATCTCATTTCAGATTAATCTAAAAATTATAAATTAGTTTAGATTACTCTTGGTCATTTTTCCCCAAGGCAATTAGAACTTTGGGGGTAGAGGAAATCTGCTAATCTATTTTGCCCTCCAATATTTGCAACTCCTGCTTTATCCTCCCATCCTCTCAGCTTCCTTTTTTTTTCTTCTGAAGCTGTGGAGTAAACCAGAAAAAAGTGAAGATGGGTTCTTCTGCTGTCTCCATCCCCTCTTACATTTGGTGACAATTTGTTGGGCCATGAAAGTTATGAAAGAGGTACTTTAATTAATGGAATGGATTGTGAAGATTTCATTTAATATCACAAAGCAGGAGCATTATGAATTACTTGTTTGGGGACATGTCTGAAGGAATTTAAACTGCTACCTTTCCGCCCCAACTCAAAGAAATGAATTGTAGTAAACCTGGTAGCATATGGAGATGCTACCTTCCAGCCTCTATAACACCTATGAAAAATGAGGATCGTTTTTCTAATGAGACATAGATGATACCAAAGTAGATATAAAGAACCTGCCCTCTTGGTGTGAGTGTATACATTTCTCTAATTTTACACAATGTATATATCCTGCGTAGAGATTTCATTTGCATTACATTACATTTACTAGGAGACACCAATTTCATCCTTTGTGGATTCATCAAACATATATAACCAGATGCTATTTCAAGAAGTTCAGGCCATAATGTTATATCATGTCACATTATGTGATGCCCAAAGCTCTATTTGCATTATACTGCGTATGGTCATCTGAAGTGTGAAGGTCACTTTTGAACACAGTTTGAATTCCATAGAATAAACAACTTGCTTTATATGTCTGATGAATCCCAGAAAAGGTAAATCTGGCCAGGTGATATTTCCTGATGGTCAATATACTGTAACTGATAACCAGAATTACAGTAGGTAGTATACAGGATTTCTGTAATGAGCATTGGATAGAGTTCCTTCATAATCACACGTATTTGCATTGGGAAAATATCTACCTCTCAGAATCTCAGAAACCAAGAAGAAATCTAAATAATGTTAGTAGCATGGAATGAAGGAGAACTTCTATCTTCACACAGCCTTGCTACTGTAACAGGAAGAACCCCAGACTTCTCATGATGGAAATTGCCCAGCAACATCCTTGGGAGCTTAATTTGCTTTTCAAGCAGATTTGAAGCCTCATCAGTGATGCCTGTAGTGTTCCAGAAGTCTGGCTTTACTTCAGACAGAGACTAGTGCAGAATCTTCCTAATTAGTTCGAACATCTAAAGGAATCTTTGGTTCGGTCTTCAGATTCAATATTTTGTGCCATCTGGTAAGGAAAGTTATTTTGATATTTAAATAGTGCCGTGGCACATTTAGAAGAAAACAGACGTCTGCACAATTATCCTTTGCAGAGAAAGGAAGGATTGGGTGGGACTTGGAGTTTGAGACTCATTACACCTGGCACAAAAGTAAGATGGATGGCAAACAAATCTAATACACACACACACACACACACACACACACACTTGCTGGAATGCTGGAATGCTGGCGGGAGACCCAACATGAATTTAAGAGTTAACCCTTTCCCCACTAATGTATTGAAGTGCTATCCACCCATCCCTAAATCACAGAAAACTCCGTCAACCTGACATTTGCTGCCCCCATTTCGAATTTCCATTACATCTTTATAGTCTCTGTTCTGATTCAATGCTGAACGCTGTAGTTCTGATTATGTAAATGACAAGTAAAGCAATTGGCTGTCTCTTTTGACTTTACTCTGCTTCTCCCGCACTGATGGTATGATTCACATATTAGATCTAGTTTTTGTCTCAGGATAGTGGCAACATGAATTAAAGTTTGGGTGTTGTCAACAGTCCTTATCATCAATAACTTCCTGTTAGCCTTGGAGGTTTTGAGGACTGCCACCCCGCCTCCAGCCACCTCTTTTTCAGTGCAAGAAGCCTCCTTCAGCTGCCTCTTTTGGTCGTGGCAAGTGAGGATCTGTTGATCGGGAGACCGGGTTGGGGATGTGGCCAGCCAGGGGTTGCCACCGGTTCAGCAATCCATGGCAAATCACCGTTACTGGTTCTCCCAAACCAGTGTGAACCATTTAATAACACCTCTGGATTAAGTTACTCGCACAGCCCACCTCCCTGAAAATCAAGCAAAGTAGGTTTGGTCTGAGTCCTGTTAGTGAAGCAATTCCTCATGGTTGCTCCTTAGAAGCTTGTCTTCTCGGTCAGGGCACCTGTGTTGTGGAACAGGCTTCATATTGAGATACAGATGGTCCTACACCTGCTGATCTTCATCAGTGCTGTAAAGATTTGGCTATTCCTCCAGGGTCTGGGATCACGGTGTGAAT